ATATAATATATCTCCAATCTCCAAATATATACAAGATTATCACGGACTGTTAAGTTTACACAATCGCAAAGTATGTAAAAAACTTAAGCAGGGGTTTTCAAATACCGCAACGGTGTATCTCTGTAATGGTATTTCCAGTCCTGAGACCAATATTATTACCGCAGTGAGTTGTATTTAAATTGGACTTATTTCTGTGTGATACTTTACCCAGGGAATTAAGAAAATAGAACTGCCAGTATCAAATGGCTTGACCGCGAATGGACACTGTTTTACTCCCGAGGGCGTCGTAAGAAGGTTGTACGTTGCGTACAAAGGGTTGAATGGCTAAGATAATTAACGGTACACATGTTAGCGAATATTTTAATTCTGATAATTTCACGTTAACTTAGGCAATTAATTATTATATTATATTACGAAAACAACACCGTTGAGAAACCTTGAGTGTTTCCTAATCCTATCTTTCTCAACATTGAAAATATCTATGATTTATTAGATAAAAATTAGATGATAAATCATGACATCGGTTATTTTATAATCTTAATTACTGGAGGTATGTATTTAAAACGATAATAGTAGTCAGAGATACATATTTGTTTTAGTAAATGTATCTTCAGTTTCAGTGATAGAGCTCAATAGGTCACGGCTATTGGTTTTGTGAAACACAAAGGAATGAGAAACGGTTAATATATGCGAAAAGCCCCTGAATATTGGCACATTTTAGGAGTACACAACAAAATACTCGTAAACAGAAGTCTAAAAGTCCTAAACGTCGGGGAAATTTAAAGGTAAGTAATATCTATTAAGTTATCGCTTTAATTCCCGTACATACACATTATCATTTACCTATCTAAAGGCTGCTTTTACAGTCCCATTTACCCCGAGGTATTGTTCCTCTATCGATATCTTTAGAAGTTTTTGTGCTATGTCTAATTTCGGATTCCGGATAAAATTTAACCCTCTACATATTAAGAAAGCACGTTTACTACTCTTCGATGTTTATTAATTAATCAATATTAATTCATCAAGCATGAAGAAAATAATAAGATTCTGAATTCATTGGTTCGTAATTGTTCTGGTAATCTTCTTTACAACGCTTAAGTTAAGGACTAATCACAAATAGAGCCGGGTTAAACTAACGAAGCATTACGATATATCTAGTTTTTGATTATTAATAGTACATACTCACGTCTTTTTCAGTTTGGGGAAGCGCAGAGTCAACGGCTAACCGTTTGCTTCTATCCTTTAACAATTTGCGAGCTTCTCAACTGTCATTAAACTTTTTATATAAGACTGTCAGTTTTGGATTCACTTGTTCTTTCTTCAGAACATGACTATTTTCTGCCTGGTGTAAATGTCTTATACATTTTTCATTATTCTACATGTCCAAACGATCCTAAAGAAGGTATTATTTGGTACAAAGTGATTCTATAGAAATTTAAATAGTATTATAAATCAGATTTGACACAAGCTATTTTATTAAGGACAGCTGTTCAGAGATTGCTTATTTATTAAAAGCTTTTCAATCATGGAGACACATCGGATAATTGAATAATAAAAAATAGAGCAAATTTACAGGTCTAAGAGAATAATATTGTAATTTAACTGAAAGTTTGTTAAGTTTAAGGCCACTAGATGTATTATCTTCTCAAAGTCACTAGAATTGATTATGTTTGAGGTAATTCATCTTATTTAAATGTTGAATTAATGAATAAACCTTCTTAATCTTCGTTTTGTAAGTATTTACGGGTGACGAGTTTATTATCTAGGTTTATGCCGACTGCTCTGTTTCTTTAGATTGTAACTTAATGATATCTTGCCTAAAATGTTTAGTTTATTATTTATATTATACTAATACATCATAAACGTATTAGTGTGAATTTGTAACTATAGTCAGACGAGTTCAACTCAGTCTAAGTGTGTTATAAGGACAGAAAATTTCGAGTTCTTCTGACTTCTGAATACTTACACATCTTTCAATATATTTCAAACATTGTTTATGCGTTGGTGTGTATTGATATGGAGTTAATGCAATTACTTATAAATATACCTTTATTTATAAGTAACTGCATTAACTAATATAGTGTATTAATTTCATCACTGTTTAATCAAAACTGCGCAACTGTATCGTAATTGTGGTGAAATGATGAAATGTGTTTGGAATACTTCTTCCACATTGCCCGACACCAATGCATTTGTTATTCGTGTGTAAATACATAAAACTGTTATTTATTTTAAATATGTTTACTTAAGCTCTTAATAATAAACTTGAATATGCCTACAATGCTTTTCTGTTCCCGTACTAACTATATTTTAAAACATTTTGTTTTCAAAGGCCTAGTTTCTAGGCCAACACAGTATGCAACTATGAAAAGCTGTGAATGCTAAGTTATTGCGTGATGGTGACAAAATATTTTGTTGTGTTGACATCAAATTTTCAACAAAGCCTTCGTTGTGGCTTTGTTGCAATTTATTTTTCTTAGTAAAGTAACTCTAGATACCAGGTTATTTTTGCACATCATACACAAGAAATACCTAAATGTTCAAAAAATTAGTAATAATAGGATTGATAATTCCTACTAGGTCTTAAGAGATCTAAAGCTCTCTACTTGTTTTGGAAAGATTAAAGCATCCATTCATTACTAGTATTTTAATAGTGTTTTTGTTAACTCCTCACACTGAGCCAATTATTTTGTTACCAACAATTCGAATTACTGTAACGAGACGCATACACTTGATTTTCGTTGCAGGTATATATACGAGTAAAAACCTTTAACTGTTAGTTAAAATATACTTATGTTATTAACATTATACTCCCAATTATCTAAATATCGATGTAAATTTCTTAATTTCTTATCTTTTATGGGCAATTAAATAATTTGATCGCGATTTCACATGTTTATGAACATGTGAAATCGGTCATTCCTGATGACTACACTAGTAAGTGGTAAAATCAAATGAATTTTAATATTTCCTGAAAAAAGACTGATTTTCACCGCCAGAATTAGGTTTTTTTCAAATGTAACTGACATGAAGTTTTATTCGAATTAACAGATATCACGTAAAATAAACCCAAAAATATATTCAGCCAATTTGAAAACCTCCTCTTTTTGAAGTTGATTTAAACTCATATTTAAATATTAGACACAGATCGTTTATAAATCTGAATATTGAATTAATGATTACCTAAACATTATGAGACTAAACAAATTTTGTATGTAAATCCATACAACACATTTATAACACGCGCGCTGCTTCCACAGGTATCCACAGTTTGGACAAAATATCTAATAAACACACATAGTCACGTAGAGCTATTATGGTACACACAAAATTCTAACGGCTAACGATTATTACCATGATGATAATAATGTAAACGATGTTTCGGCATTAGACTGAAACTGAAAATCTAAACTGTGAATCTGTAGAAAGCCTATTTTGTTATCAAGGAACTCTTCACTAATATAGTAATCAAACTGCCTGCACGGATGGCGTAGTGGTTTAAGCGGTCACCTCGCACCACTACGCTGAGTGTTATGTGTCCGATCCCCACATGTGACACCGCTTTGTGTGATCCACAAATTGTTGTAAATATAATAATTCGCATATAATTTATGATGTTCTTTACTGGTTGCATACTTTACTTATTTTTTACTATAGGCAATATAATACATAATAAAAGTTTTAATTTAAATGTCGCTTCAGCTTTATGGCCAATGTTCGAACGGTACTAGTTAAAAGACATTAAGCCCGTACCCGACCGCCGGTAATCCACCAGGGAGGTTTTATGTAGACCAGAGTCGAATTTAGTCGTCCAGTTAACTGATGTTCTGATCCCTTGTGGTAGTGATACACAGATTTTATGTCTGTTTGTGGTTTTCAATTAGGACGATTGCATTTCTAGTACATTCCAGTGAAATTGCAACCGTTCTTCAGAAACTTGAACTGAATTGACACCGATGCTAACTAGTTAGCTCTGTTGGCAGAAAAATATTTTTAGCAGTCTTCCGGAAATTTTCGTAAGAAGCTTATGAGTCTTTTACTGCTACAAAATGCTAATTAATTTTGACTACGTGGCCCCATCAACATCGCCACACAAATTTCACATTTCATGAATATTTTGTTTAGTCCACGCATTATATTTCATGTAAAAATAAATAAATAAACATGTCATGTCATCAAATCACACTAATCGCGACTGAGAGTGTATTCTTTAAACAGGCGGAACATAAATTGTAAATGGCACTAGGTAACACCAACGACTAATAAGATTCGAAGATAAAACACGAAGTAAACGTTCTTTGTTTAAAGACTTTGTTGAAGATTTTTTTACTTTTCAAACATCGTAAACACTGCCAACACACCACTACTCAGATTGACTGTACGGATGGCGTAGTGGTTTAAGCGTACACCTTGCTGCTTCCTACAGTGCTGAGTGTTGAGGGTTCAATCCCAACATGGGACAACACTTTGTGTGATTCACAAATTGTTGTACTGAGTCTGGGTTTCATTTGTGGCCGTTTCATGTATGTTTGTAAAGTACCCCGCGACACAGGACTTTATCCTAGCGCGGGAGTTGTCTTTCAAAAAAAAAAGGACTGCATGGTTCTTAGCGCAATCAAATGTTTGATTCTAAATTTTGGAAATGAAAGAAGCAATAGATCAACACAATTTTATTGTTTCATTACAATTTCAGCCTTGCTTTTATAAATAGTTTTATACATTATTTACATCACAAACATCTTTCACTTTTGAGTACAAATTGCGTAAAAAGTTTATTTTTTTTTTAATTTTCTTCATATTTAAATGATAATAACAATTTTGCGTAGATATGAGAAAATAATTCTGACTTACAATAGAATGATAACATGGATTACAATGTATACAGAAATGGATCCAATGAGAAAATTAAATGACGTGGACCCAAAATCAATTGCTTATAATAACGATCATAACATTCTCAAATGATTATCGGTTGAGCTACATTCGCTCTTCTCGTACTGTCATTGACGAGAGAGGCCTAGACTATTGGCTAACTGAGAACACCTAGCAACGACTTCATCCTGAAGAAGACTAAACGACATTGCTATTAAAATGAGTCCAAACACTAGGTACGCACAGCATGCAATCATTTGCACATATTCACTTTTAGAATTCTCTGTACTATGTTTTGATGTCAGGAAGCTGGTGGGGACGAAATCCCCAAAACCTATAGTAGCTAACGCGATGAAGCAGAAGTACGCAGCGTCAAGGAAACTCCAGTTTTCCCAAGCAGAGAATAAAGCAGCTCCTACGCAGATGTAGGCGAGAAGAAGGAACAATACTATGCCAACTGGTATATGACAGTGTTCAATTCCTTGATGGATGTGATGTTGCACACTCGTGGAGGCACTACTGCTGGGTGCGGTACAACTTTTCATTTTGTGGCTCTCTTCATTCCATATCAGAGGCACTCGCGATGGCGTGTCGTGTGGACATATTCTGTGGACAAATTTAATCGTGATTCAGGTATCTAGAAATATGTTTTAACAGAACTGATTGGTTGTTATCTGTTTGATGTTTATCACAATGCAATCTTGAGAAGTCCATTTGTACTACAAATATATGAATAAAAGTGGGTGTGTGTGTACTAAATAGACTTTTGTGAAGGATGTAATGATGATTACAAATCAAATGTATAATGTAGAAAACTTTATTCTGAAACGGTGTGTATTAATTATGGAAAATGCGTGACTTGATTAAAATTGTGTTAGTTTTGCTATCGCCCGTATGTAAGGACATCTGCTCAGGCGGTGGCGTAATTAAAATGTTTTTAATTAAACTAGGTTTAATAATGTAGTGCAAATTTGTAAAAACAATTAAGGGTCTATGTTCAATGATTCTTTTTGAATCCTATTTTATATCTACATTACATATTCCATCCATATTATTATATATTTAAGTAAAATTTAATATTGCTACACTATTATTATTAAATTGTATACTACGGTAACATACCTACTCCTTTTATGCATGCAAAGTTAACCTTTAAGTAACACTATTGTTATTTTTGCTCTTTATGTGTTTTTTTTACTTCATATAATACTTGTGTAGACAAATGTTGACAAATGACAATTTTACTATAACATTTTAAGTCCCTGTATAGTTAAACTGTTTTTTTAAACTCAGGACTAATTTAATTAGTAGAGCATTTTTAAGATTATAAATACTATTAATTAATATCTTTTCTTAGTAAAGTGGAGCACAAAAGGACAGTATATTCAAAATCTGAAAAAAAAGGGTCCCAAGTATATATACTTTTAATAACATATACCTAGGTTGAAATGAAAGTTGTTTATTTATTATAATAGGCCCAACACCCAAATAGTTTGCTATAATTTTTTTTTGTCTAAAAAATAATTTTACATAATTTTACAGTTACTATGAAACTACTCACGATTCTTCTGGATCTTCGGAGTCATCCAAGTCGTCTTGACTTCTATTCATCAGATCACCGCATTCCTCCGCAATGAGTTGTTCTATGACAGCTCCCCTTGGTCTTTGTATCGTGGTCCTCCCTCTGCCTCTTCCAGGCCCATGAACTGTTGCAAGGCACTTTGAGCTACCTATTGTTTTCTTTCGGTCCAATGTTTGCGTTTGTAATGATGAAGATGTGTGTGGTTCTACAAATAAAATGATAATGTAATTATTCTTAGAAAAAAAGTTTTACAGTAAATCATCTTTCCATATTTTTGGTTAAAATGAACCCTCGTGCTGTACTTCTAAAAAAAAGTACCAGATTGTCATAAATGGGTTATATTGTTATACGCAATCTAAGTACTATTAAAGTAAAATAAATTAGTATCAAAAGTAAGACAGAAAAAGTCATAGGCCTCATTCATTTTTCTGATATCAGATAAACATCCAGACTGAAAATAAAAACTCTACTGATAATATAATCGAGCAAACATGATACAGAAAGTCATACCATCAGCTAAAGTACTTCGCTTCACTCTTCCTAATGTAGCCGATCGAGGACTTGAAGGAGCTCTTTCAAAGACTTGAGAGTACTGCCCTCTGTCTCCAGCTCTGGCCTTTACTGTCCCTGGTGATCTGTATGTCCTCGGTGGAAAGGATGTGTATTGATTGTGTTCTGCTGGTTGCGGTAGGAGTCTTTGCTGCTCGTGTAGTTGTAAATAGTTCTCCGGCTATAACAATGAATTTTCAATGTATTAGGGTCATAAAACTATAATAAATTCTTAGTCTCAAATAATTCTTGTCGCTTGTCGGTGGAGCTTCCCTTATTTGCTTAACAGTTCGGGATAAATGTAAACTAGCTAAGTAGCAGCCATCAGAATATTATTATAATGTTCGTAGATTTTGGTGAAAAAAACAAACGTTTTCTTATCTGATAACATGATTACTCATTTAGTATGTAAAGCACAAAAGGAATTACAGCTGCCCAACATCTACGCACTCTACGCCCAGTTTTTAGAAGTGAGCGAGAGGGACTGACGAATATTGTAGATATCGGTATCCAAATATCGTATGTATATAATGCAAGTATAACTATTTAAGTAACTGTAACATAAATATTTGACATTAAAACCAAATCTGCATTAAAACCGCAATTTTTCAATTTCTAAGGTATTCACATCAAATGGATTACAGTTACACGTTAATATCACTATACCTTATTATAGCCTCTCAGTACTTTGGATCTTAAATCCTCTTGCTATTTAAACTTACAATAAAACTGTAAATCAAAGTTGTACTTTTTATTTGTTTTTTTCGTTATGACATAGGTGATTATGGTAATAACCTTTTAATTTAAAAACTGAACTGTAAAGTGGCTTCATTACATGACGTTTTTTATAATCGCATCCGTCAATCGATCTCTAAAATTGAGCAAAACAAATTTGATAAACTTTGGAACCTATAACAGTTAAATCTTACCGTGGGTTTCAGAGCTTGACTATACTGTTACAAATACCAGAAAATATGTATTCATTTTGGTCTCAATGATTGTTATTATTTTATATTATAATAAAAGTTGTTTAAAGACTAAAAGTACAAAGGTGTTTGTTTTCTGAAACAATATTTTTTTCTGTGATCACAAGCGAATGTCGCTAGCGTAATGATGCAGCGTACTATTTCTCATTGTTGATGACAAGGGTGTGTTTTCTCCAAGATATTAATACGTCGTGGATGTCTGTACAAAAATGTGGCCATTTTTTTTTCATTCTGTGGTACTGTATAACCTCAAGCTTGTATTGTATCGGTGTCAATTAAGAAACGCCACTAACATTGTCGGACGTTGACACAAAAGGTATACCTTCTGACAATTTCAGCTGTTTTTATTAATTGTTTTAACATCACATATTTTGACAGTGTGTTTTGTTATTAGGTATGTTAAGAGTACAATTCACTTCTTGAGATATAATTACTATTTAGTTAATAATGCAACATACAGCTCAGTAATTTGGTGGCGATGTTGAGCAGTAAGTGAAAATGAATTTTACAATTATTAGGGGCATTTAAAAAGTATTATTTCATCAGTACCTTCACTTAGTGCTCTTATTGTACTAAAAAACTAGTACTAAAACTAATAATATGAACTTAAAATAATTTAAAAGTTACATACAGTTACAAACAGACGTTGTGGTCAGGACATCAGTTTAGCTTAGAACTGCTTATTCAAAAGTGTAAATTTTTCCAAAAAATTACTTACTTCCCCGTCCTTTCTCCAAGTATTGGGCACTTTTCTCTTAGTAGCCTTCAGCCAAGCCAGCCGTGCCAGTCTAGCAAGTGAGGCGCCAAGGCCAGCTAAACATGCCAACGTGAGTGGCACCCCTGCTGCCGCATATGCTACAGTGGCCGCTCGTCCGGCAGCGGTGCGGGGAGAGACATTCCCATAGCCTGTCAGTAAAGTGATGTTTAATTTAAGCGGTACGAGTACATGCATTAAAATTAACAAATTATTCATTTGGCATTGATTGCATGGACGATACAATTTCTTTAAAGCGTCTGTAAATTGTGTATAACGTCTTTTTTTTTTTAATTCAGAACATATTTTAACTACATTGTAATATGACACATCCTTAAGATGCGCGACAAAATTGGACTGCTTGTCTAACTAGTCCATTTTCGTCATTATTTTTATTGCTAAATATAACGATGAAACTGCTTTTGAACAGAAACTTGACTGACTGACGTGTTTCGAATACTCCTTATTCTTGATAATTTCGTCTCACTCACCTATAGTAGTAATAAGCGTGATGCAATATATGAGTGCACCAGAAAAAGTCCACTTGGAGTCCATAGTAAGTTCAGACGGCTGTGTCTCAGATGACTGTCGTGCCGCAGCCACTATGGATGACTCGAACTTTCTCAATTGCTCGTGGACGAGACGCGTCCAATTACGTTCGTAGAGTACATTGAGGCGCTCTGTAACAAGAGAAAAATAAAATTTAGTTTCGCAATCTTGTTGTTGAGTTGAAGCAATGGCTACATAACATAATACGTAGAAAGAAACTTGTAGCGATCATCGACCTTATACAATCGAAAATATACTATTGTAAGTAAAAAAAAGAAAAAAAGAGCCTTATTATATGTAACTAAAATTAAAAATATATAGTTGTTTAAACATAGATCTTTCCCCTACCCCCCTCCCCCTATTGGACGAAGGACATGCATGAGAATCTACCACTCCGTTAACAAAAAAGAAAAATGTTTTTCTTTCCTAAATATTTATAGTCGTCTCAAGTAATAGCTATTTAGTAGGTTTCTTTGAAAGCATGTTTATGAAGAATTTAAATAATCTTAAATAGCACTGACTAATCATTTTATTGATAACTGGGTCTACCGAGGTTCTCGGGGACTTCCTTCCTAGAGTATAGCCGAGTCCCTTGCAATAGGCTTACATATGACTGAACACCGTGTGGTTTCCGACATACCACCGTGAGCCCTTTTGAGTTGATAACACGTGGGTGTATCTACGGGTTAAAAAAATGGTTGTCTTGTAAGAAGTAATCGGGTATAGAAGCTGTGCAAAGACGTTTTAAATATTTGACTACAAAAGACATTTAGAACACGTGGATAATAGAATAAAACACAATTTTAAGTCATTGTTCTAAGAGGCAGAGCAAGACTTAAATGTCTGCCATTTTCTAAGCCTGGTAAGCCATCTTGAGCATTTACAATTATTACGAAGATTAACTGTTCCTGCTCCAACTGGATTGGCTATCAAGCACCAAGTATTCACGATAAGGTCCGTGAAGTGAATAGACTATTAAATTTTGATGAACCAACACTCAAATTAACGAGGCTTGCAATCAGCTTTTGTTTAGTTTAATCAAAGTGAAAAGTACCATTTAACTTTTAAGTGGAGTGAAATCTCGCGCTGTGGACAGATATTTTTTGTGATACTTCAATTATCGACTTTAGAAGTCAAATTGATTTAGAGGATTTTAAAATCAGATCTAAGTTATTAAGTGACTCGTTTGGCCAATAAAAATAATATTCTTCACACTACTTTGTGCGTGATTGACAGTGTAATCTGGTCGAAACGTCAAGAAAATCAACGGTGTTTAATATTTGCGTATAACATCTCTCAGATTAATGTTATTCTTAGAACGTGCTATACATTTAGAAATTATAAAGATTGCTAGTTTCTAATGCACGAACCATTTCTTATATAATACTAGGAATATTTTGAATGAGCACAGCTTTTAGTTCTTTCCACAATCAAGATAGTAAATCAGCAAAGCACTCGACCTACCTGTGCATTTGAACGTTGCCTGTTCTATTCCTAGACCTTTTCAGTAACCTCACTAATCAGTATAATAAAAATAAACTAACAGTTTTATTTTTACTGAATACATAAAAGTAAAGTCACTTTAAAAATAAATAAATTGGAACAGTTATTTTTTATTCGCGCCTTTTTCAAATGGTTCTAAATATTGTATTGCGAGTATGGGTGTAAATTATATTTGGAAAGAATTTTTAAATTTTTTAAATATTATATTGAATTGTATTCATGAATGTAAATACCAATAGGCCGCCTACCAATAGGTGTCAATTTGAATACAGTATTTCCACAGCCAGGTATTGCCACAACTGATGTGAATGGCAAATAGAGGAGTTAAGATTTTCGTTGCCCTACACGACTCCCAATTATCAAGAACTCGATCCCGGGTTCGTTTGATGATTCTTGGGATTTGCAGAATTTAATAAAAAATGTGATAGATTTGATATACCTAACTTTGAATGACGATTTGCCCAACTTCGTTCGAGCACAATTTCACAAGACACAATTTCGTGATGTAAGTAAAAAACACATTCATTCAATTAAACGTTTGTGAGACAGCTGACATGAATGTAAATATTCAGAAATATTCGTGTTTGAGGAAAAAAAACGCATTATTGCACAAATTGAATGTTTCATTCTATACATAATGTTTCTGAAATACATATTTCTGTACCACCTTACAGAACTCTGACTTGTTATTGCCTGTTTATAATCCCAAAAAAGAGCCGGGATCCGATTCTTTAATGGCAATACAACTATATCCTAAACCTTCTAAACAAATTTAATAAAAAGAATATTAACTACAATATTAATTCCTTGATAGGAATATTTGTGGTGAACCCTTATCCTGAAAAAGGTTGAGAAAGTTTTATATTTTCTAAATTGAGGACGCGTCAAGGAAAAATATTTCTGTCGGATAGCTTTGAAGCCAGTCGTTATGAAATAAATAAGATCTGTTTGCTACACAATTTCAATTAGAATCTGTACGTAAACCCCTAGTAGGGTCTTGTGTATTGTGGTTTGTATCGGTGAACTGCACACAAGCCTCAATTGAGCAGTTCCATACCAAACTACCTGTAATGTTATCTACCACCTATCAACGTAAGAAGGCCAAACGACCTCTTATTAGTTAAACCTAATACTGTATTAGAAATATTTTTCTGATTCCGCGTTTACTCTTGAACATACTTGGATTATTTCAAAAACAGATAAATTTTATGCTTCTTTAAAAGAATCATGCAAAATTTTGCCTAGAGATGAGTATAATGTAGTGAAGAAAGTAGTAAGTATGGAAGTTGACGGATATAAGAATAGAGGAAGACCAAAGAAAAGATGGATGGACTTCGTGAAAGAGGAAGGAAGGGAGTAAGAAGGAAGTAAGCAGTGAACTGAGTAGTGATAGGGGAGAATAAAAGAAGAATACTTATTGCACCCCATCTAATACACGATGGGACCCGCGCGGTAGAACCATGGAACGCTAAGAAATAGGTCTACAATATAGTCACTTCCAAAACTGAACGTATTTGGACAATATATGTCACGTCGATTTATGTACGTGTACACCTATCAACTGTAATACCAGCATTAGGCAAGACAAAACCTAGTTATGAGTCATGTTCTTTACCATGAAGTAATTTACTTCTTCGTGAAGTTCTTACAATTCTAATATCCTATAGATACTCAATCTACCCGTAAATTTATTTCATATTCTGAATTAATGAATTCAATATTTACAAACACCTTTCATTACTCTCGGTACAATCGAGTCCAGTTAAAGAAGTTATTTTCATTAAAGCCAAAAATCTCTTGTACGTGATCAGTCTTCTGAGTGGCTACTTTAAATTCCAACTGATTAATTCGTGAACAAGCAATCTGTTTTGCTTTAAAATCTCAACACGTTAATTAAAAAAAATCTTTTCTTTTCATTTTGACTCGTTACACTTATTTATTTATGAGAGTAGTACTTTACGTTAGTACATTTGAAGCAAAGAGGTTAAGTTTAAATCAGGTCCCCAATTTTAATATACCTATGTCCCCTGTAAAGCTAGTCATTTATTAGCCTGGAGGTTCTGAAGGATATTTGGTAAAATGTAAATATTTCATTGTATTGTGTTATTGACATCCTTTGGCCCTTTTTCCAATTTAATTTTATAGCCTGGGCTATGTGTAACTTTGCATAAGCGAGCATGCATGATGCATATATGTAAGAGATACAGAAAGTATCGGGGTGGAACACGAGACTGAGACTCCAGCAGCTCTAATAGCCAGAGGTCACATATCCGTCTAAACGAAATGTGATATCCATGTGGTGACCGATTAAGACTATTTAGTGTCACCGCCTATGTTCATCCCATGGGTGTCATAAGTAGTCGGCTGACTAAACGAGTAAACTACGCAGGACAACAACACTGGAGAGAGAAGTAAAACGTTGAAACAAACTCTATATCAACCCGTCCGGCCAACGTGGTATAGTGGGCCAAACCCTCCTTTCTAAGGAGAGGCCTATGTCCAGTAATGGACTATTAGTGTGTAGTGGTTGTTGATGATGATAATGATCCTATATCTAAAAATCATCAAAATGTTTCAGAACATTCAGAAAATATTTCATAACATCAAAAGAAAATGAGAGTTCTAGCCACACAAAACATTTAAAATAATCCTCGGAATAAATAAAAAACTAAATAAAAATCTTAATATGCCAATGAAACCAGCAGTCTAAAATTCTAATCAAATGGTTCTTCCTCTAGAGAGAGAACCATTCTAAATAATTCTTCCTATGTTGATCATCTGGCTTCACGTTAATTGATGGTTGACTTTAATTTCTGAACGGCTCTGATTTTTATACATATACAATCTGTTTAGCATCACTTTAAGTATTTTCTTATGTATCGTGTCCAACAATGTAGGTATAGCTATATGAGGAAATATTAACAACGTTGAAAACACACAAATTATGATCATATTGTTTTGTTACTTTAAATAATCTTTCGATTACATCCCGCTAAAATTGAATCAAGCAAAACTGTTGACTTTGTGTCGATCTACAAGTAAAAATCACGTACGGAGATAAAAAGTACACTGTACGAGCCCTATCACGATCTGTTTACTGTCTCTGACAGGATTAAAATCGTGTCCTTGCATCGCAGGTTGTCACTTTATTGGTGATTCGCTTTAGGCTTACATTTTTGATGAGCAACCGCGCTCTTAAATGTTTACGAGGATCTTAAATTATATTTTTTTTATTATTTACCTACGTAGAACTGAATTATTAATTTACAATAGTTCCAGGGAATGGTTTTAATTTAACGGATTGTTTAGCACATACTAATTTTCTTATTTAGTGAGGGATAAATTAATAAATAATGTTAATAGAATATAAATTATACGGTTATATTAAATTGATTGTATAGCTGTAAACTTGTACCTTTGAAGTAGTAAATTTATACATTAATACAACTTTCTTAAATGTACAAAGGAAGCCGAGGAAGTCTATGGCCTATATTTAACGATTTTCAAACTTATATTTAAGTCGGTATTATTTCGGTTTTGAATTCAAACGCAGAAAGGACCCATAAAGTTTATATGTAAGAGTAATGTTTGATGTCTTGTAGAAGTAGCATAGTAAACGTAGGTAATGTTTTCACTAGTCTGCTGGCTTTTATGATTTAGACTTACTTCCTAGTGTGTGGATTTCTCTTTGGATTAGTGACTATTTGCGTTGTTCAAAGCAGTTTGTTGCAGGAAAAGAACCAAGGTCATCCACATAGCCCACCGGATTAGCAAGCTGAAGATGCAGTAGGGACAATCGTTCTAGCAAACGAGTTCTTCTTGGGATGAAACCGGCAAACGTGCAGAACATCCATAGGCTAGGTGGTGTGATGATTTGAGTAAGATAGATGACACGAGCTGGATGCCAGAAGCCATGCATGCTGGATGCAAGATGGAAGAGAGGCCTATGTCCAGCAGTAAACTGCGATAGGCTGATAATGATGAAATCACTTACATCAACAAGCACACGTTCTGCGTTGTTATTA